ACTATGTCCCATGATCCTTTAAGTGTAGGTAGCAGAAGTATCACAGACCGCCATCGGATCCCGCTTTTCTGCAGCAGAGTCTGTGAGGGGAGATAGCAAGTACAGCCAGGTGCGCAATTCTGTAAACTAGGCTCCTTTTTAGTGTCCTTTGTATGAGGNNAGGGTGCCGTACTATCTTGGGGATCTGAAAGCCCCTAAACGTAAACCCAAAACCCCTAAATGGCAATTGCAGCCAGGCTTCTCTTGGGCCTGCAGTACTACCACCCTTAAACCCTCAACCCTAAGTTCCTACTTTTTCAAAGAACTGCCCAGGTTGCTCTTGGGCCTACAGTACTACCTGGTGGTGACCTGCATCATCCAATATAGGCGCCTTGGTCTCGAGTCGCTTCGCACCGAGTGAGGGCTGAGGTCCCGGCTCAGGGCTTTGACCCCGGGGGCCTTTATATTGGAATACATTAAAATGGACTAGAATATCATACCATAGAATAGAATAAATAGGAGATAGAATAGACTATGAGATACTACGAGATAGTGTAGATATCCCCTATCTGTTCTCGGCTTCTTGTGCCAGAGTTTTTCGCTACAGCCCGTGCTGTTGATATGTTTGCTTGCGTTTGCTTCCGTCGTCGCAATAATTCGGGCAACAGCTGTTGGAGCCAACTCTTTCAGCTCGGCTTTTTGCCTGATGCCTACGCTTCGACGTCTTCGTGGTTCGCAAGCAGATCTAATGGTTTGGGGCTTCGGGTTTGGTTTTGAGCTCTCGAACGCCCACGGTGCGCGAGAAGCTTTCAGGGTTCTGTTGACTGTATTGCTGAGCATAGGCGCTGCCGGTATGTTCAGAAGATGGCCATCCGCGCAGTGATGAGTTCTGTTTGTAGGAGCCCTAGTTCTGACTACTCCAATCCACTCTTGTCCTCAGCCCGAGACGCTAAACCCTAGGCCAAAGGCCCTAAACTCTAAACCTATTGAGCTTCTACACCCAACTCGAGCAGACAGGAAAAGGCCCGTCAAAACCGAAAAAGCCTAAAGCCCCTGAGCCATAAATGAAATAAGCACTATACCGACTATGCCCTATAAACTGAGGCACGGCCTCCGTTGTG